CGCTGAGGACGTCAGTGCCAGTGTTCAGGCTACCATGTACAAGATGGGCGAGCAGATTCTTGCTGCTGCGCCTTTGCTTGAGACTGTTGAGTATTCGCTGCCTAACAAGCACTACTTCGAGATTGGTACGTTTCCTGACTGCTTTCTTTCCTGCTTGCTTCAGGCTTTGGGGTTCTGGACTAATCGTTGCGCTTATAGATCTCTCTTGGCACAAGGGCCTCAAGAACACTGGCAAGGATGCCGAGGTTTATGCTCCTCAGTCTAACCCCAATGGTCTTATCAAGTGCACCGTTGCCCGAGCTGGCCAGAAGGCTAAGCTGTAGATGCTAGATTTGGACTGTCGGCGAGCTCTGACATGCATGACTTTTTTTTCCCCTCTCTTGTACATATATCTCATCCTCTTATACCTCTGGGATACCGACTCCCTATCTCAAATCCAATCTGGTACATCACAAAGTTACTTCGTTTCGCTTCCAAGTTGTTTCCCGTAATAACTTATTTAGTATGTAGTATTGTATGTGCTATAAGTACATTCCAATTCAAGGAAACTGCAGGCTGGAGAGAATGAAAAGAAAAGCCCGAGGCCAAGCCAACGGTAGAGTAGATGGTAAATCAAAAGCAATATCCCAGGTGGACTCCGAACCCATGCGCTTTTGCGGTTGGATCATAACATCGCAGAATAGAATACAGGCACGCGCGGACCCGGTTGAGGTCGCGTTGTAAATGACGATAATGGTAACAGGAGAAGGAGAGAAATTTATGCTCTATGCGGTGGGCTCGGTGGGCTTGGCGGCCTTGAAGGCTTCTTGCACCTCGGGCATGGCGCCGATCATGGTCGATTTGTTGCCGAACTTGACGATGTTCTCCTTGTAGGGGTGGGCGAGACCTTCGAAAGCTGCACGAGTATTTTAGTTGAGACTCATAACAGGGGGACATGGATTGAGTAGAGGGTGTTGTCCATCGTCAGAGAGGACAATGGGTACATCTCCACAAGTCTATCCACCAGGAACCGGCACTTACTCTTCAGACGGGCCAAGCGAGAGTCCTGCAGACGGTTCTTGGGAAGCATACCCTTCACAGCCCGACGCAGCACTTCACCACCACCCCATTTAGCGAACATCTGATCCATCGTCATGCTCTTCAAGCTACCCGGCCGCGTCGTGTGAGTATAGTACTTCTTCTGGAAGCGCTTCTTTCCTGTTGTCTTGAGGTCATGGCATCCGGCAACCACAACGTAGTCACCACAGTCTGTCGAGGGGTCGTAGATAGGCTTGTTCTTGCCCATCAGGACGAGGGCGATGGACGAGGCGAGCCGGCCCAGGGAGCGTTCATCCGTGCCGGCGTCGACATAGTGCCACGCGCGCGAGTAAGCAAGACGTGTCTATCGTGTCAAAGATTAGAATTGGGTCCATTGATATGATTGCGGACATGCGCGGTGGTCCGGCAGACTCCGCATTGAAGCTACTTACCTTGCCGACGAGTTGCGACATTTTGCTGAGATGACGGAGGGTGTAATAAGGGGTCGGGATAGGTAAAAGTGGAACAAGTAATGAAGCGGGATAGCCGCTTTAGTATCACAGCAACAAGATAGACCCAACACCCAAGTCTGGCCGAGATTCAACGCTTGATCTGATCGGCCTCTCACGTTACTGTTGTTCCCCAGCCCGACGAAGTTCTCCGGGTCATGTGACCAAGCCCTAAGTCTCGTGCCGAGCTAAACCTAAAGCGGTCTTAGCGGCCGCACACTAAGCGAAACCCGCACCGAAGGGCAAATCAGTGTGTATGGGAATTCAAGTGATCTCTTTTTCCATCTCCCACGACAACACACTCCCCTCCCCGTCGACAACAAGGGCCATTTCATCCACCATGGCTTCCGTCCCGAGTGTGCAATGCTTCGGCAAGAAGAAGACGGGTAAGCTCTAATTTTTCGATGCCAGGTCATCTGGAATCTGTGCGCTGACATTCAATTTTCAATAGCCACCGCTGTCGCCCACTGCAAGGTATGAAGACGCCTCTACCCCCTCCTCGATGTCAACACGTTGTTTCGGAAAACCTGGAAGGGATCATGGAGAGTTATTATGGAAGAAGAGAATTGGGAGTCGACATGGAATTTTCGAAAGGGTCTACGAACAACGGATTGCGCGATATGGGGGTTACGCATTTCAATTGGACAACATGCTGAGTGTTTTTACAGCAAGGCAAGGGCCTCGTCAAGGTCAACGGCCAGCCCCTCTCTCTGGTCCAGCCTGAGATCCTCCGCTTCAAGGTACGCACACTCGCTCCGTCAATACCCGGCCGCCGGAAGAAAAAAAGGGATTCGCAACGAATCGCCCACAAACCAACAAATGGCAACGGAGAATTTTTAAACCAGTTCTGAGAACTGACTGTTTGAAATCTAGGTCTACGAGCCCCTCCTGATCGTCGGCGTTGACAAGTTCGCCGGTGTCGACATCCGTGTCCGTGTCTCCGGTGGTGGTCACACCTCCCAGGTCTACGCCATCCGTCAGGCCATCGCCAAGTCCATTGTCGCCTACTACCAGAAGTACGTCGATGAGCACTCCAAGAACCAGCTCAAGCAGGCTCTCGCTCAGTACGACCGCACACTCCTGGTTGCCGACAACCGCCGTGCCGAGCCCAAGAAGTTCGGTGGTCGCGGTGCCCGCTCCCGCTACCAGAAGTCCTACCGTTAAATTTTTCTTCTCTCTTATACCTTATTACGCGGCGAAAGGGAAAAGAAAAGTTTACAATTGGGAGGAAATGGGAACGTGTCTGTCTTATGTCTTTTTTTCTCTCACGACTCATTTCCATGACTTCTTTTGGTGGACTGTGTGGGGGATTGGGAGGATCCCCGGGGGAATGTGTATTGAGCGGTTTCTGTTCGGTATGACCGCTCGTACATGAGATCCGAGAACCGGGCTGGAGGTCTTTGGGAAACATGGCCTCTGGTTGCTGTGCCGGTTTCTGTGTTGAGGATGGATATCCTATGTTTTTCACTGGCGCTGTCCTGCACGGCTGGAAAAAATACCTAGCATAGCCAGGAAAATCTACTCAATGATACTGGGTTTTATCTTGTTCAATCTTTCTTGTTATTTCTGGTTCTGAACTAGTGTAATTGCGGCGTTTGGATCACTTTTCTTTTCTTAGGCAACTAACCTCTACCTTGGTTTGACGGTCTTGTGCATACAGATCCTAAAGCCCAATCTTGCAAGCAGGTTGCTACCCAGGCGGTTACGGCATTACATGAGTCTAAGTGAAAAGGCACAGGTCTCCAGCTACACCTTAGTCTGAGTTGCACCTAGCCACTGGTGAGGAAGTATAGGTAGCAGATCTACACCGCCGTGGCATTATCACATAATGCGTGGTAGAATCCGTCACCGGTCAAATGCAGCAGAATCGATTCGAGCCCTAACTTGAGAAGCTTGCTCTGCCACTTTTTCAGTACATCATAGCAAAGTAGTATTAGCACCAGAAAATGAGATTTCGCTTGGCACCATCCTCCAGCTTCTTCATTCCAGCCTCGGTACATGAGGGATATACAGTAGAGATGTCTCAAGATCAACCGCGCTCCACAGTCCTTCAAATGCGTGACGACCCTCGACGACGGCTGCTGATTTCTCTGGGATGTCCTGAAATTAGCCACTGTTCAAACATTCCATACTTCGTAGAGATAAATCACCTGTTGTTGAAAGTGCGAATGGAGCTTATGTCTTAGCAGACTACCAAGCACTGATCTTCCTTCAAGCACTGCATTCCGAGCTTCTTGTGTCCATATTTGCCCCGTTGTGTTGTAAATGAGCCGCCATGACCGCCGACACCAGTTGTCCCTCCAGCTCAGCAACCAGCTTGTCGTCTCATGGTCCGGGAAGTGTGATCCTATATCGTTTGTTGAAGAAGAAATATCAGCAGTTGGTTCTCAATGAGGCTATATATGACTGTATTTGAATCAATCCCCTCAGAAAACAGTAAAATTGTATCTTTGGTCGGGTCCCACGGTGGATCACAGTCCTCCAGCCAGTTCCGAGAATTTCATTCTCTCCCCCTACTGGGTTCGAGTCAAATTTCTTTTCAGGTGTCTCATCCCAGGGGGATCCAATTCCACATGCATGCATCAATCTGACGTACCGTAAAGAACAGCGAAACTGGTATTATGTTCGGGTTAACCTGCGAATGCGGAGTGAAGTCCTAGGGTTGGAGAGAAATGTCAGTCACCGATTTTGAATGGCAAGTGTTCTGGAGGTTTGGTATTCAAAACAGATCAGGCAATTTGGTGTTTGTCAGCATCGGTCCAAGAGCCCACGCTATATAAGCAAGGACTCTGTTCCTCAAAAGGATGACATTGGTATCATCATAGAATATTTCAGCTTTTCTGCTTGGATCAGTTGTTCATACCGTAGAAAGTAGTCAATGTGGTATACCATATAAACCCGCCGCAAAGGTGAGGTCCTGGAATCTAGAGAGGAATATCACTGATTCCAACTCGTTCAAAGCGGCTTGGTATTGGAAACCTCTCAGACAATGTGGTAGTAAAAGAAACCGTCATCGGTTGACAGTGCACTCCATATAAATCGGGAATTCTCTTCCTCGGATTTTTGTTTTCATATCATCACAGAGGTTTTTCGTGTCCATATCGAGGGATCAATTGCTCATACCGTAAAGTGCAGCGAGCGTAGTGCATGACGTGATAACCTGTGAAAGCGAAACCCTAGAATTGAGAGAGGCCAGCATAATCTTGAAATAATTGTGCTGGGATGTTTGATATTGGAGGAAAAGGGGATCAGATGTGTAGTAGTAGAGGAATCAGCATCGGTCGAGAGTCCACCCATGTAATAGGGGACTCTGTTCCTCGGATTGTTCTTTCGAAGGAGTCATCATAGAAGGCTGGGGCAGTCTCATGGAGGAGTTGCACTTACCATAAAGTGTAGCGAGCGTAGTGCATGACGTGATAACCTGTGAAAGCGAAGAAAACCCTAGAATTGAGAGAGGCCAGCATAATCTTGAAATCATTGTGCTGGGATGTTTGATATTGGAGGAAAAAAGGGATCAGATGTGAAGTAGTAGGGAAATCAGCATCGGTCGAGAGTCCACCCATGTAATAGGGGACTCTGTTCCTCGGATTGTTCTTTTCGAAGGAGTCATCATAGAAGGCTGGGGCAGTCTCATGGAGGAGTTGCACTTACCATAAAGTGTAACGAATGTGGCAATGAGGCACCGAGTCGTGATAACCTGCACAGGCGAAGACTAATGATTTGGAAAAAAAGTGTCAGTATAACAGTCCCAAATTCAATACGTTTCTTCATCGACGTGCAAATCAGTGTATTGACAGACGAATAGGATGAGGGGACATACCTGGGATTGGGAAAAGGAATCACTGTAATTAATGCTATCGTCTCAGATGTTCTTTCCAGGCATCATGTCGGTCCACGAAGGTGGACCAATCAAAAGCTCATAGTGTATAGAACGTTTCATCATCGACGTGCAAATCAGTGTATTAACAGATGGATGGGATGAGGGGACATACCTGGCTTTGGGAAAAGGAATCACTGTAAATAGTGTTGTCGCCTCAGATGTTCTTTCCAGGCATCATGTTGGCCCACGAAGGTGGACCAATTCAAAAGCTCATAGTGTATAGAACGTTTCATCATCGACGACGAGCAAGGAAAAGAACGTGGGTGATAAGAATCGCAAATCAGTGTACCCACCAGATGGATCGTAAAGTAAGGATGATAGGACATACCTGGATTCGACGAACAATGAACGTAGTCGTATCAGTTAAAATGCTCTTTCCAGCCATCATGTTGGCCCACGAAGGTGGACCAATTCGAAAGGTCTTAGTGTATAAAGAACGTTTCAATATCGGTGAGCCAGTCCATCAATCCAGTGTGCCATATGGAGAGAAGGTCTCGATCCATCAACTTGGGATTATGTCGTTCATCACCAGTGTAATCGTATGTCGGGTCTTAGCGGTGTCTCGAGGATTCCTATAGCAGCACAAGATCGGCCAGCCTAGAGATGTAGTTCCAGAAGTTAGCCCATGAACTGATGACACGATGTGTGGATTGGATGGGTAGCCCTCGTCCGGTCGGGTATAGGATGTATGATCCCTCAACACCAACTTGGTTTTCATCTCAAGAACCGACAACCGAAAGGTAATACCAAGTCATCGTAGAGTAGATCGTCTTTTGTACTCATTGGATCCATGTCGGTTTATCTGGTTGTGGCTGAAGCGCGACGAAGACGCGGTATCGGGAAATGTGCTCTAGAAATGCTATCCTCGAGCTTCAGTGAGGCAGTAAGATGCAGTGGGGACTTTATCAGAGAACTTATCTTCTTGATACCAGACGCCAAGCAGGTGAGACTGTGTGCTGGTATGGTATAGGGTCGGCCAATCGCTCCAAAAGCCTCAAGTTCAAGGTGCAGGAAGTATGCAGTAGACCGGAGGATGACTTTTCGTCTGAAACGTCGAAGTCATGCGATTGATAGCGGTGGCTTCGAAAGAACCTTCGATAATATCTTGAAGGTCGGGGAGAGGAGAGAATGAATGGGTTAAACATGCGTGGGTTCGTGGGGACGTGGATGGTGCATCGCAAGAGGTTGACGAAAGATCGTGAAACCACCGACGGCGACGAGTCAACAGCAAATTACTCAACAAGGACAACAATTTGGAGTGGTAATTCTAGTATTTTACGCAGTTACAGTACAGTCTACCTCCTTGGCTACTGCCAACCCGATTATCTACGATGGTGAACTCCGCCCATACCGAAAAGATGGCTTTGACATAGAAAGCATCATGATTGTAAACGAACCACAGCATCGCACGGTGGAATGGCCATATAGCCAAGTCCTTCCATTCCCATGAAGAGGAATGCCCCTCATACATGGCTAGAAATCACCATAGTGTTAGCGAAGTACGAGCATTTGACCAAACCAGAAGAGTCAAGCTCATCTATCGTCAGGTATGTTCGGCTTTGGGCTTATAATGGATATCCCCCATGTTTCTGAGTTATACCTGCTCATGCATACCTGGTTATACATCGCTGTCCTGTACGTGAAATGCGCTATTTGGACAAACTACATTGGTCCAGCGTTCAACAACCCGTCGGTGTGGGCGCTTGGGTCTTATCTCCAGGGTTTGACCATATCTACGTTCTATGTTGAACTTGGTATCAAATTCATTGTAGCTTTGGTTTTCATCCTAACATAATTCAGGACTTTATCTTAATGTAAACTGTTCCACAGTGACCCGCTATGTCACTATCCGGCGCCAAACGAGAGATGCATACCTACTATAAAATGAATGTACTATGGATCCCTGTGCCAGAATTCCTGAAACAACCATATAACAGCACTAGGAAGCAATATGGGGTGAAAGGGTTCCCTTGCACCCATAGCGGTTGGTGGATAAAACAGGTGAAGTGTCTATGTCGTTAGGGCTCAAAGTTGGCGCCTGAGGCGACAATCGCGCGGTATATTCGGATAAAAGATAGTCCGGACTTGTGCTGGGTAAGAATTACTCCGGGAGGATATCGCACTTTAGTTTTTCCGAAGCACCGAGCTTCCTTACATTCATTATTGACACCTCAGGCATATATTATGCCTGAGGCTCTAAGGATAATTGATTTGCTGATATAATCTAATTAAAGGCCGCGGACGCGATACAACGCGTCCACGCGCCTGAATCAAATGCGCGACTCTCCTTTCGTCCTCCCTTTCCCCGCAAGGATTGTCATCCCAATCCAGGTTTCTGTCTCCCAATTCTGATTTATGGGCAGTGGTCTCCAATACTATAAACATGCCTTCTGCCCAGGACAGGCTAGCTGAGCTGAGGGCTCTTCGCGCCTCAGGAAAGAAACGAATTTCAACATACGAGATCGAAGACCAGGGCGACATTTACGATGAAGTCGATGATGATGGTTACAAAAAGGTCATCCGCAACCGCCTCGACCAAGACGATTTTGTCGTCGACGATAATGGTGCCGGTTATGCAGATGATGGCCGCGAAGTGTGGAATGAACAAACAGTGGACTACGCCAGCGATGAGAGCGACGAATTACCCGGACGAGGCAAGGCTGCTAAGAGAAAGCGCGAGGAAGAACAGCAGAAAAAGGAGAAAATGGACAAAGGCATCTCCAGGTACTTCAACAGTGGACAAGCTACGTCTTCCGCACCCAAACCCAAGGTGAGTGCGCCTTGCACATTACATCAAAAGTAATCTTTCTGACAGTGCTCCTAGCCTGTTGCCACTGCCGAGGATGATGCATTCATGGCCGACCTACTCGGAGAGGTGGACACCAACGTCGTATCGAACAAAGCCCCCACTAGAAATATTGTGAAGTCAGAGGCCCGACGCAAAGTTCGCGTTCTCTCCCCGCCCTTGTCCGAAAAGCGTCGCCGCGAGAAGGCTCACCCACGAGACGAAAATGACATGCCAAGCTCACCAATGAAGGACCAAGCACTACACTCTGATGACCTCGACGACGGCCCCCTCCCGATGCCAGACGACGATGATGTTCCCATGAGTGATATTCTGCCCTCATCTCCAATTAGTAAGGCAGTAGAGCGCAGGAACATCGTCCCAGTCAAGGCCGAGCAACCGGAGGATGATGACATTGACCTCATGGATGTCGCGGAAGTCACGGGTGACTCTGGCGTCAAGACGGAAAGCATCAACATGACTGGAAGCCGACCGCCCCCGAAGATCAAGAATGAAGCCGTCTCGGAACCGGCTAGTTCATCTCCAGTCAAGACTATGCCGGAAGTCATGGATCCGTCTTGGAATGATGTGCGGAGCAAGTTGAACGTTCTCAGCAGCCCAGCCCCGGAAATGCGTTCCTTCGGAAAACTGCGTGCTCAAGATGTAGTTGAAGAGGACGGTAGCCTGCGCATCTTCTGGTTGGACTACACGGAAGTTAATGGCAGTCTGTGCTTGTTTGGAAAGGTGAAGAACAAACAGAATGGATCCTACACCAGTGCGTTCGTCAAGATTGACAATATTCTGCGAAAACTCTACTTTCTTCCTCGGGAACACAGACACAAGCATGGACGCGCGACTGAAGAGGAGGTTGACATGCAAGACGTCTACACCGAAGTCGACGAGATGATGTCCAAGCTCAAGGTCGGCATGCATAAGATCAAAGAATGCACGCGGAAGTACGCATTCGAAATGCCCGGTGTCCCGAAGGAGGCACAGTATCTTAAGCTACTCTATCCTTACGATAAAGCTGCGTTGCCGATGGAAACAAAAGGGGAGACCTTTTCCAACGTCTTCGGTACCAACACCTCCCTTTTTGAGCAGTTCGTTCTCTGGAAGAACATCATGGGCCCATGCTGGCTCAAAATTGAGGAGGCCGACTTCGCCGCAGTCACCAATGCATCGTGGTGCAAGTTTGAATGCCAGGCCACCAAACCAGCACTAATCAGCCCCGTTCCGGACTCGGAGAGTATGGACACCCCGCCTTTGACATTCATGAGTCTCGCTTTCCGTACGCAGCTCAATGTCAAAGAAAACAAGCAGGAGATTTTGGTGGCGAGTGCTAGAGTGTATGAGGACATATCTCTCACTGATACTACTTCCCCAGAGAAAATTCCCTGCAAGACATTCACTGTTATGCGACCTGCTAGTGGTTCATATCCAATGCACTTCGAAACCGAAGCAAAGCAACAACGCGGTACTGTGATTCTGGAGAGGACCGAGCAGTTCTTGCTCAGCAAGTTCCTAGCCTTGTTTGAGAAAATGGATCCGGATGTCATCATGGGTCACCAGCTGCAGGATGTCGACTTAGGTATTCTGCTCAGCCGAATGCGTGAGAAGAAGACACCGGGGTGGCACCGTATTGGTCGACTTAGGCGCGGAGATTGGCCTAAGAACTTCAACAAGGGCGGCAACTTCTTTGCGGAAAGGCAGTTGATTGCCGGAAGATTGATGTGTGACGTAGCCAACGATATGGGCAAGGTAATGGCTCCTACAAATTTATTACAAGGCAACGCTGACATTAGGTAGTCTCTCATGACGAAATGCCAATCGTGGAGTCTAACTGAAATGTGCCAGCTTTACCTGGGCCAAGGCAACGTGCGACAGGAACTGGATACCGAGGCAGCATTGAAGACTTGGGCAACCACAAAAGAAGGCCTCATGAATTTCGTCAATCATTGTGATACGGATACATACTTCATTGCGGCATTGGTTCTGCGTCTTCAAATGCTGCCGCTCACAAAGGTTCTGACTAACATCGCTGGTAACTCATGGGCACGCACACTTAGCGGTACACGTGCAGAACGAAATGAGTACATTCTGCTCCATGAGTTCCATAGGAACAAGTACATTTGCCCCGACAAGTATTCTTCTCGTCTTCAGAAGGCAGAGGAGAAGATAATGCAGGATGGCGACGAGGACGAGGCGGTCGACAAGAAAAAGAAGGACAAATTCAAGGGTGGTCTTGTATTTGAGCCCGAGAAAGGCCTCTACGACCGGTTTGTCCTGGTTATGGATTTCAACAGTCTGTACCCCAGTATCATTCAAGAGTACAACATTTGTTTCACCACAGTGGACCGGACAGCCTCGGTAAGCTTGGACCTCACCCTAATCTCATACCTTCGTTCTAACCAAACAAGCAGACCGAAAACGAGAATGAAGAAAAAGTACCAGATATTCCCTCTTCGGACCAGGACCAAGGTGTGCTACCTCGGCTGATCGCAACGTTGGTTGGTCGTCGACGCGAAGTGAAGAAGTTGATGAAAGACAAGCGAGCCACGCCCGAGCAACTGGCTTTGTGGGACACAAAACAAATGGCCTTC